TGTACTATCTCCCCTCACCGGCTCCGCATCTATTTTCCCGTCACCCTGTATATTAGACTTATTTGACACATGATAAATTTACCCTTACATTTAGACTTAGAATGATAAATATTTTCAATAGACGCGTGTCTGGATATACCGGTGTCGCGAGCTGACCGATAAGTGTGTTTCGTAGTCGGTAGTGGCTGCCTTGTTATCGTAGCTGGCGGGTGGTGAGATTAGTCGTAGCAACGTTGTCATATGATCAGGGGAGAAATTTCTAGATCACAACGTTGTCAAATGGGTGGGGGACTATGGACTAATTGTATGGGCTTGCTTGAACCGTTTGTCATACAAGACTTTACATGCATCCGAAATGTGGTGGCGTCAAGCCGAAAGAAACAGGCGTCAAATTGAAAACAGTCCACTCTGGCTTCTCCTCAGCAACTTGATTATTATCTTTGGTAATGTCAACTTCACTAACTTTAAAAATCAGGGTGTTGATATGGTAAACCGCCATATTGAAGCATATCTAAAATCAAATAGAAACAAAAAAGGAATATAATAATGGGTGATTTTTTTGCTAGTATCTTTTTGGCAACACTGTTATTGACAGATGACGCGTGAATCGTGTCTTGTGTCATTGTCAAACTTGTTCAGTTTGGTCTATAATTTAACCATGAATCGACTTACGAACGAACAACGCTTGCAAATTATTGAATTTTACTATCAAAATTCTTGCTCGGTTAAGAGAGTGCATCGAGCACTGCTTCCAATTTATGGGCCTACTGAGGTAGCTATTTGGAAGCTTGTGACTAAATTTCGAACCCAGTTTATATTATTGGACATTAAACCACCAACACGCAGACGTAAAGTGAGGACTGAAGAAAATATTGCGGCTGTATCCGCCAGTGTTAGTGATGACCGTGAAATGTCGATTCGCCGCCGTTCGCAGCAATTGGGCCTCTGTTACTCCACTACGTGGAAAATTTTGCGACAGGATTTGGGTGTAAAACCTTATAAGATACAACTGGTAAAAGAATTGAAGCCACACGACCTCCCACAATGTTTCCAATTTGGTGAATGGGCGCTGGCAAAGTTGGAGGAAGATCCACATTTTTATCGAAAAATTGTGTTCAGCGACGAAGCTCATTTCTGGTTGAATGGGTACGTTAACAAGCAAAATTGCCGCATCTGGAGCGAAGACCAGCCAGAAGCATTGCAAGAGCTACCAATGCATCCCGAAAAAAGCACTCTTTGGTGTGGATTATGGGCCGGTGGCATCATAGGGCCATACTTCTTCAAAGACGACAATGGCCGGAACGTAACTGTGAATGGCGAGCGCTACCGTGCGATGATAACAAACTTTTTTTTGCCCAAAATGAAAGAGCTGGACTTGTCTGACCTGTGGTTTCAACAAGACGGTGCCACATGCCACACCGCACACGAACCGTTCTATCGACTCAAATAAAGTTTTAATCGTTTTTTCAAATTTGTTTTTTTTGAAAATCAAATCCTATACCTCTTAAAAAATCACCCGTTACAAATTAACATCCCAATCGATGTTGAAACAGCCCTTGATAAAGTTGACTTATCTAGGATTTATATCAGACAGAAATCTGACATAGCCACAACGATTAGATTATTAAGAAAATTTCAAGGAGACTTTTTTTCCAGAATTTCTAAGCAGCTGTCAATATTTGCAAGAGTTGTGATTTATAATACAATAACAGACCCCCATTTTCAGTACTTTTCATCTTTATTGTATTGCTTCGGAAAAGTAAAATAAGCAAACTACAAAAGCTACAAAATAGGGGAATGTGGTTAATGTTGCAATTAACAGATTCACAAGAATTGAAGACATGTCAAATACTCTACAGTGATTGTCTGTAAGCCAACATCTTTACTGAATATCCATGACATTTATATTCAAAATTGTAAAAGAAATTTGACTTAATTGTTTAGCTGCACCCCTGTGAAAAAAAATGAAATTCATATGTACCTATTACACCAGAACCAGCCCCAATTTTCAATTAATTAAAACCAGTAAAGTGAGAACAATGAAAGCAATCATGAGGGAATATAATAAGTGACCAAATCAAATAAAAAATGCAAGATCTGTAGGTCATTTCAACAAAGCCCTTGCCATGCATATGAGATGTGGCACTGCTTAGATTTAATATAATTTAGTTGAATTTGTTCTTCTTTTATTGCGAGCTGCTGTGGGCCACACATTTTTGCTAGTTGTTGTAAAAATTAGGACTTTCTAAATTAAAGGTGATTACAGTTGTTACAGATTACTATTATTTATACTGAAGTTGAATGCAGCACATGAGTGCTTTGAAAAAATTGATTGGTTTATTGCGTTGGATGTTGGATGCATAGAACGAGCTCTCCAGTAGTTTAAATTCTGTCGTAACCGGCTTGCTGACTTACTGCAAATGAGATGGGAAATCATTCTGCACTCAATATACAGAGCATTCCAAAAAGATCCCTACCACGTATTGAACAATGCTTTTACTCTCTACATATGAAAGTATCCGTTTTCTAATTCTTTTAAGCTGATAAAATCATCTCGTTGTCTTTTATGGTGTAGTACATGTATTTTAATTTCAGTTTTATTCAAGTTTTAATGCTGGTATAGATGATTTGACGCTGTTATATTCTCTTTCTGGTTTGAGATCTATTTCACGTCTCTTACCCTGACTATCTACGCTCGTGGTTGAGATTACGAGAGCCACACATCTCCCTCCTCGCCCCTTCAAACTAAGGTTTTATAACGCCACTATGATGAAGTTCACCTCACTCCAGTTTTAGTTTCTTGATCAATGAAGTACAGTTCGAAGATCGATTGCAATAACGCATTATAAATAATTTTTCATCACTTAGCTTTATAGCCATATTACATAGTTCTTAATTAAGCGGATTTTACGCTGTATGTTGCTGGTTTCAATGTCACGAATGCGGACATATGGCCTTTTGATGCACTTTACATACATAACGTATACTAAGCTATTTTCGTTATGGGCTGTACAAGGTTTTCATCTACGTCACATAATAATCGATTTCATGCAAATCACTGGGTAGTTAATTTTGGCCGTCTCATTCGCTGTTGGCAACTGATGAAACGTTGAAAATGTATGATATTTATACGGTGAAATGTGCATTTTCCAGAAGGCCAAATGCACATTTTCTCAAATGCGTTTCAAGTCACAGATGATCGATAGAAAGAAATACCAGCAATACCATAAATCAGTCGTCTAAATGCAAAACCCGACAAGTCCATTTAAAGGAATTTTAGGGAAATCGCAAAAAACGTTTATAACGTCTATTTGTCTTAACAGAAACCAGCAAATTGAAACAAAATTTTATCAAAAAAAATGTGTAACGAAAAACTGGTTCCCAAACATGTTATAATTAATAATTACTTAAATTAAGATTAAAGTTTGGACTTGTCAGGTTTTGCATATAAAACATGGTGACTTGTCGGGTTTTGGTTATTAACTTTGGCTAAAACAAGGCGAATCGGCAAAACACGAACAAACTTTTGGATTATTTTATTACAAAGTATTATTAAGAAAATGCACATTCCAAACAACATAAAATTTGTGTTTTCTGAATATCAAAATCTAAAGTTTCTTCTAAACAAAACAACTCTGTATTGGCCTCATTACCATCTCGTGAGGTTGAAGTGGATGGGAGAGGTAGTTCATCGAAGGCACTTTTGAAAAATGATAAGGCTTCATCATTTCGCCAATTACTTCCGTAATGTTTTGCAATCAAATTACTGATACTCTTCTTCTTATCCGATTTCAATGGCATTCCAATGTCTACAGTGCTTGGTTTGATGTCCAACTTTCTTCCTCTCCTCAGCAGCGATTGGTTGGTGCCCATGTCATTCTTATAGAAACTTTCACCTCTTACTGCATAACCGGTTTCAGTTTTTGAAATTATGATGCGTTTGGACACTTGCAACTTGAAATGCCACTGTGATGTTGGTTTCATAACTATCTGAACTTTTGACTTCCAGTCCTGTACAGGAACATCAACTCCCAACTTGTAGATGCTTCCCCACTTCTCTATTACTTTCATGTATTGTTCTGGACTTGTAATTTCAGGTGACTTTTTAATAACCTTCTCAATTTGTCCAAATAGCCTATTTGGTGGAATGGAGGAATGCCCGACAACCGGAAAAAATATTTCAATTTTGTCTATGTTGGGGGTACTGCACTCTAATAACCAATGGGATAACATCCCAATGACGATGGAGTTCTTATTTTGCGCACCGCAACCATCACAAAAAAGGCAAACGACTTTAGTAGATTCGTTAAATTTAAATGTGCTGAGAGTATGATATACGTAATGCTGATGCTAATTCATTGGATCCCCTTTGATGATCTAGTTCAGTCCATACATAGGAATTGACTGAAGTTGGACTTATTTTTCCTTTAGAAGTCCCCTGTACAATTGCAAAGTGATAAAAGTTTAGCTGCATAATGAAGTAGGCTGCTTGATCTGCGATTTGACAATCAAAGCTGAATGTAACAACCTCATTGTCAGCATGGACTTCTTTCGGATTTTGTGAGCTCGCTGTTGAGCCATTAATCGATTCTTTGTGTTGATATCTAATGACTTTTTTATTTGGTCTTGAAAGTGCAGGCATGTTGAACACATGTCGGTTTTAGGAGTACCAAAGCCAACATTGTATTTTCTGGTGAAAAAGTATCTGAAAAATGACTCCTTAACCTGAAGATCTTTGTCCACGGTATTGTTAAACATTCTCCAAAGTTTCCTGATATTTAGTTCTGCAGGCAAATAAATTCTACTGAATGTCTTAGATCGGCAATAATGAGACTCTATGCACTTCAGTGATTCAACAAACTCTTTTATAGCCGTTCGCTTTGTGTTATTTTTACCTTTTGTCCGATCACCTCCACGTCGTTCTTTGGGCATTTCATTGCTTTCCTTGTACCGTTTTACTACATTCAAAATCCTGTCTTTCTTCACTCCCAGAATGTTCATGAAACTCTGTCTGCACACATTAACCATTAGCCCATCTCTTCTTTTCACATATTATTTCACTGACATAGATTTCGGCTTATTTTTTTCTTGTTCTCGTTTTCTTGATCTTTTGGGATCAGTAACGCTGCAGTGCTTCAATATAAAATTGTCCTGGGTGATTTTCTCTGATGTTTTGTAAAATGAGTCATAAACAAATTTTATATCTCTCATGGTCAGCAGTGATAATAATAATAATAATAATAATAAAGTGTCTTTATTGGCAACCTTCCATATTATGGCGAAGTTTAGCTTGATTGCTACTCTTCCGTTTAACCATAATATGGACAAAACATCAAAAATTTATACAAGGAACATAATACATAGAATATAAACAATTACAGAACAATCACGAGATTATACCATTTGCTAGCCAAGCATGCCAGAAAGCAAATATCGACATGAACATTAGAAGTCAACCAAATTGAAAATATTCATTTAACAAAATCCCAAAAATAAAAATAAAATAAATTAACAACTCAAACATTGAGAGATGATTGTATCTCTAATAGCTGTTTTCTAACTGATTTTTTAAAAGAGAGTAAACTTTCTTGTTTGTTAGCCGCACTGACTGAATTGTAAAGCTGAACGGCATTACACGTGAAAGGTCTCTGATATAATGAGGTGTAGTGAAGAGGAATATTGAACTGTTCACTGCCCACATTTTGGAAATGTTGGCAATAATTTTGCAGAATATCTAGAAAAATACATACAAATAAATTACTATTGTGCATATTGCTACCGTGTAACAAGTATCTATTAGCTTACCTGTTGCGTTTTGCATTTTCCCGCTTAGACGGCGTTTTAACTTTCTTTCGAGATCTATTACCTTCCGATGGTAGTATATTATATTTTTCGCAATGCAATTCCCTCATATTTTAGGCTAAAATACCATCAAACTCAAACTCAACGCAAAATAAACATGTGCATGCAAGTCAGGGCGACAAACGATTGCAACACGTGATCGACCAAACACGAATTTCATTGGTCGACATGGACATGTCGGCTTTTGCATTTCAAGGGAATTTTCTGTATTAAAAATAGCGTGTTAGAAGTCGGGTTTCGCCCTAAAAATATTGCATAGTTTGTAGCCCTTTAGATAAAGAATTCAATGGTGTATAAAACTGAAATTCCAAAATGTTGTGACTTGTCGGGTTTTGCATTTAGACGACTGAAATATACTCAGACAGGGAGGAACACTTTGTATTTGAAACTAAAGCATTTCAACACCTGAGAATTCTCTCTGTCTCCCTTTGTGCCAGGTTAAACGGCTGAGATAGATAATACTCTGGTCAGCTGGATTTGACATCAATAAACTGATTGTGCGTTAATAATCATGTTTTCCCAAAAAATAAAATTTATCGACACTAGGCAAATTTTTCAAATTGTTGAATTCGTCGCCCCTGCGGTAGTTTCACATTCACTTCGCCTCCCCAGCACCAATTGCACTACATGATCGTCAATGCTTACCATCATGATCGTGATCACAAGTTTAGTGTTAAATACAGTGAATGGCTTAAAACACACCGTAATGTAAAAATAAGACAGCACAAAGTGCCATCTATTACCCGAATGCAGCACTGCAGAAGAGAAAACAGCAAGCTGCCTATTGGAACTGTATAACAGTTTGTATTGTCACCACTATGGCCGCAAGATGCCACCGATTCTGCAGATACAAAAAATATGTGGAACACTGCAAGCCAAAGTTGTACACGTATATTCTTATAACTAGGTGTATAATCAACATGATGTAAAGTCGTACAAGACCTTCCGATATAGGCTGGTACATATGGCGCTCTATGTCCTGGAATAAATGATGTTATCCTTCTACTGTCTGATTGACAGTCAGTACTTAACTGGTGACATGCAAGTAGGCACTCAGACTTACAACCTGCTCTGCCTGGACGCCATTCTTTTCTATCTGTTACAGTTGAGAATACTATTAATATGAATTATGTTCCGTCCTCGTCGAAGTAAATATTTAGAATACATATCGTAGTACCCTCGTAGTTGTACCTAACCCCCACGATTTCAAAGCGCGCACGCAGCGAAGGAAAGCGGCACTGCTCCCCTCTCCCCTACCTTCCTCCCCTCTGGCCGCCTATAAACATCCATTTTAGTTGTATAATTTCTCGGACTGGGACATTCGTTGGCCAGGGAAAAGTCTCATAGTCTTTAGTCACCCGAGAATGAGATCCCGCAAGCTAATCATCAAGAACCACTGGTAGTTTTCTTCTGTGGTGAATGCTGTGCTACGGAACTGATGGGCTGTCGCATATTATCTAGATCAATAGAATGGTGAGCTTCTAGTTTCTGAGAGAAATCTTACTGCCCTCGCGTCAAATACTGGCACAGATGAGCTTTTCCGTCAGTGGGACGTGGAAACGGAGTCGGAGCTACACCTGATTTTGGTTCAAGTATTCGGTGTTTCTGAAATTCCACATCTAGAAGTATCGCAAAGATGTGATGGAGGGACCCAGGACGGCGCTCCCAATAATTCTGAAGCTTACCCTGGTTATCGTCACTGGAAGGCTGTCTTCCAATTAGAATAGATAATCCATCATGTATTGTGGGCTTAGATTACGGTAGGACCTTTGCTGTTAAAAAATACATGTCTGGCTTTCTATTTTGAAATTTCTTACCTGACAGTGTGATAAGAGATCAAGATATAATTGTTTGAGCTATCAGTCTTTTACCCCAATTGATACTAACGATGCAGACATAAGATGGCTGGAGCCAACTGAAATATAGATAGTGTGGTTGTTCTCAACCAACCAAAGGATGAGGAAATCAGCAACAGTGCTATCTCTAACCTCAGGTCAGAGTGTGCAAGCTAATTGAAACAGACAACATCCGCATTCGGTTGAATAATATTGAAATTGGTATTTCAAAGTTTTTGAAAGTCTCGGGGTCACTCATGTGGCAACCAGTTTTAATTTTACCGTATTTTACGCCCAAACATCTGTGCAGTCAAAGTATTTATTTGTCACTGTACAGTTACTTTATCGTGGTGCCTCTGCTCCCAGATGGATGAAGTCGGTTTTAGTAGAGAGTGTCACAGTTGACAGCCCTCAGTACATGAAATGCGTCTACCTCTCCGCCTGGTAAATTATAGTAGTCTCAGGCTCGCGGCGGGATGGAGCACGTATTCTGAGATAGGTCAAAAATCTCTTATGCCAAACAGAAGCTTTGCTCAAGCGGCTTTTGAGATGAACCAAGTCTCCACACCTTAAACATAACTATGTTACTACGTTATTTGCTTGTTACCATGTAATGTATGGTAATTTTTGAACCAGGTACGTCATATTACCTGTTGCTAAAAGCCCTAACTGGAGTTATTACAATGGAAATGTACATTTAGTTTTGCGTACAATTTGTGTAGTTGTGTACCAACCTATCGTTTACTATTGAAGAGCGTTAGTAGTACGTTGTTGCAACTAGCTTTGAACATATACGATATGTATTCAAAATATTTACTTCGACGAGGACGGAACATAATTACATGATCAAACGAACTTACCTGTAAGTGATGTTCGATCTTAATAATGTGAAGTCCTCGACGAAGTAGATAGCTCCGTCGCTCCCTATGTATCACCCAATTTTTGAACACCTTGGCTTTGAAGAAAATGAATGTTTATAAGCGGCCAGAGGGCAGGAAGGTATTGGGAGGGGCGCGGTGCCGCTTTCCTTCGCTGCGTGCGCGCTTTGAAATTGTGTACGAGGGTACTACCAGATGTATTCTAAATATTTACTTCGACGAGGACATCGCTTACAGGTAAGTTCGTTTGATCATGCAATTAACCTTAACAATTTATTTAAATGTCCATTATTTACTACGTTGCATGAAACAAAATGAACTGGAAAACCTCATACTTTGGTAGGATATAATTCACCCGTTCAGAACTATATAAAACACCACAATTCAGTAGATTTTTTACGTTTACTGCAATTTGCAATATCCTTGCATATTTTTTTGCAGAGCAACGAGTCCCTAGCCAAATTCTAATTTAAATTAAAATGTCACCTGCTGCAGATAGAGTCATACTATTTTCTTCTCTCAATACTCCTGTTGTTCTAATAACTTTTTATTAATCCAAAGTCATAGTGGTTATCACTAGTTGAGGATTTAGTGGAATGATTGCCTTAGCTAAATTCACCCCATTTATAATTTAAATATAAATCAGGATGCGTGTAATAGTGTGGTTATAGTGTGGAAATACTTTTTGATATCGAACCTCCTCGCACTGCACAGGAATGGAGTATTGCTCACATATATAGGAGTCCTTAATGCCCATACTTTATGTAGGTTAAAGGAGAACTAACTAACAATGCTAATAGATGTTTTCCTTAGTGTTACTAATTTTAGATGATTCAGGACCTGGATGAACAAGATCTCATTAAATTATATATATGTTTTGCATCCACAACCACTTCGGTATAAAAAACGATGAATCTAAGATTGCGCAATTTTAGGGCAAATCAAGTTTCTTATTTCATCCCACTTCTGAGGTGTTCATTAAGGCCAAGCTTTTTCTGGGCAGCTACTCCTACTAGCTTATAAAACTAAAACATTAATGTTAAAAAACAGGAAGATTTAGATGACTATTGATATTATTTTTTCACTCAACTGGATAAGGTGATGAAATTTCCAGCACATTCAGCAACACCATATAGGAAATCCGCAAGCAGCAGAATGACCCTATTACCATAAAATGAATTTCAATACGAGCGTTATATCTGCAAGCTGCAGTTTACTATTTTTATGTGCATTAAAGCGTAATACTGAATATTTCATGACCAGGAAGAAGGCGCTCTTAAAACTGACGTCACAGAAATGCATAATATACATTTTATCCGTGCTATCCCTGAACAAATGAATCTGCACCGAGTGGGAGTGTTTGCACACTGAACAGCCGCTTGGGTATTGAACAAGTCATTTTACTTTGTATCCCCAATCAATAATTATGCTGTATGATTAGGTATTGAATAATATCTCTAAAGAACTGAAAAGTACGTATAAAGTAAGACAAGAGCTTCCTATAAACCTAGTAAGGGTCGAAGTTGTACTTACGACGAAAACTAAACTAGGATCTTAAAACTTTGATATGTTGACTACTATATCAATGACGCTTTTGAAACGGGAGATCATTAAGATATTGCACCTTAATAGATACATACAAGGTAAACCAAATTTGTCTGAAGCTTGAGTTCAATGTGTACGAGAGATGCACGACAAGTGTGTATCAACACATGTTAGAAAGAGATAGAATCCGGCTGAACGTCATCACCACGTTGCCTAGCGACGGTGACGCAGAAGTTCGTCCAATCTGCAGCGTTGCCAATATATTAGACCGGAAAATGTTCGCACTTCTACTGTCAAACCCAAGAAGGAAGTGCTGCTCCAGGATTTGTCCCACACATGCATAATAAAAGAATATTGCAAACATTCGGAAACAATGTCATAGTCATGGTTAAGTTTTATTAAAAAATAATCACTTCATTTAATTTCGTGGGGCTTGAGAGAACGAGGGTAGCTCATTCGGAAGCGTTCATAAACTACAGAGTCAAAACAGTGAGAAAAGTAGATGGATCGAAAACAGTGAGAAAAAGTGAAAGAAGTGAGTCGCCAGCATTCCTATAATACTTACCGATGGAAAGATGTATTTTCACTGGGATGGCGCCAGAATTATCTGCAAACACCCGCAATTTCGAAAAATAGCACTAAACATACGAATTCAATGACGCAACTGTTAAAAAATTAACTTACCATACAGAAAGGTTGGGAAATCTCGAAACTGGAGATACTACAGACCAAAATATGTGAATTGACCTAAACATACCTTAGTCCAAAACTTGATAGTTTGAGAGATACAGGGTGTCAAAGTTACAATTTTATTTTCTTTTTTTCCATATTGCTTGAAAAGTATTTCAGATTTTGGCATAAAACTCGGTAAGGGGAGGTTTTCTAGAATGAGAAACAAGAATCCGTTATTTTTTATCGCCAAACTTCTAGAAGACGCCACTTACAAAACTATTTCGGTAAATAATTTATCATAACTTTTTTATGCTGCCCATAGCGTTGCCATGGTTTCTAATGTTTGACGTTATATTGCTTTAAGCATCCCACAAACCGGCGCGAAATAATGGCGGCGAAGTATTCGCAACGAAATTCAGAGCGAAATTCGCAATCTGTTTCGCCTGTTTATTCATACCAAAGCGTCTTATTCGCTCCGCGAACGTGAAGGTTTCGACAGGTTGCGTACATTTTATTTTTGCCTTTTGCAATGAGCTCGTCTTCAGAAGAAGAGGACGCACTTCTATTTCTTGCTTTAGAAGAGGAACAAAATGCACGGTAAGTTATGTTTATTTAACGCCATTTGATAGTTGGGTATGTATTAAGTTTAACGAAGTACATAAAACAAATATTTTCAATTTTGTTTAGGAAACGAAGGAAGTGGGTACATGATATTAACTTGGAACGAAATAAATTTGGGGAATACCATACCTTGATGCCACAACTTCGGCTGGATGAACAGCGCTTTTACGTATATTTTAGAATGACTCCAGAGTGTTTCGATGAAATATTGAACTTGGTGAAAGATGAAATACGAAAATCTGACACAAATTATCATGAAGCTATTTCGCCAGAAGAACGACTTGCTATTACACTCAGGTAAAAAAATTATATGTATTAAAATTAGTAGGCTTATCGAATACGAAAACTTCAGGGATCGTGAAATAAATATTTTATTGTAATAATTGGACTACATGTTGCCACTAGGATTAAATGTTGCTAAATAATTCGAGGCAGAATTTGCCTCCTCTGTAGGGTATATTATTGGAGTAAACCCAGTGCCGCTTGGGAAGGACGACATACTACTATCATACATACTTGCAGAATTCTGGGTAGACGCTGAAGACATTTCTTCAATATGTTCAAATTCTTCGTGCGCTATTAATTCGGCTATTTTTAGTTTTATTCGGGCTTGACGCTTTAAGGGAAGTGTTTTCACAGTCTGTGCATGTGCCAAGAAAAGTGAATCAATGGCCTCGTTCTCTTTTTTAGGTTTTTTACCTTCAAAATAATTAATGAGCTGTTGTACAGACGAAGATGGTGGTTCATAGCCCTTTCTGCTCGTTTTATATTTTGGTGTAGTTGCAGTCTGCGGAAAGGTGTGCCCTGGAGTAGTCACTGCTGTAGTGTTCAATGAAGAAGGTGGTGCTGTCTGTGTTGCCGAGGCGTTCTGTGCATCTTCTGCATCTACATCAGCATTTTCATCTTCTCCATGGCCGCGGTCTTCCAAATTTTCGGTTTCTACTTTTCCAGCCCTTTCCTGATATATATTTGAGTTAAATTCGGCAGTCTCATAATGTATGACGTCAATATCTTTCACATTAGACGACGTTTTGGCAAATGCCAAAAAAGGACGGAAAAATTCCATGTAGTCAGCCCACTGCCATTTTTTTATGTTGCCCACTGCTTGGCCGGTCCTTGGTTTGGTAGATTTTATATATTTTGCAAATCTGTCTCTGATATTCTTCCACCTTTTTTTTACTTCATCACCTAAAAACGATTTTTTTTATAGATTCCTTGCCACTGGTGACACCTTCTATACCATTGGGCATAGCTTTCGAGTTGGCTTTACAGCAATGAGTGCAATCGTAACCGAAGTCTGTGAAGCGATATGCAGACATATGGAGCATATATATTTACCAGAACCAACAGAGAATATATGGAAAAAATGTGCTGAAGAATTTGAAAATAGATGGGGATTTCCCAATTGCATTGGCAGCGTGGACGGTAAACATGTAACAATCAAGAGACCTAACAACAGTGGCTCCAATTACTGGTGCTATTTACATAAATATTCAATAGTACTTATAGCCATTGTTGGCCCGGACTATAAATTTATATGTGTTGATATTGGTGGTTTCAGAAAAAATAGTGATGGGGGTATTTTCGAAACCTCAAACATGGGAAAACGATTTGAATAAAATTCCCTGCACCTAGATTTCTCCCTGGGCAAAATGAAATCTGCTGGTACGTCTTAATTGGTGATGAAGCATTTGCTTTAAAACCATACCTTATGAGACCATTTCCTTATAAGCAGACTTTAACAGACGTCAGAAAAGAGAAATACAATGTAAGACTTTGTCGAGCTAGAAGGGTCGTGGGAAATGCGTTTGGTATTTTGTCTCAAAAATGGCGAATATTTTACAGGCCATTAGAAACTAAAGTAGATACTACTATTCTAATTCTACGTACGGCATGTGTTTTACACAATTTTTTATGAAGTAAAAGTGGCGATGACAAATATTTTCAATTTTTAGATCCCCCAGAACCCGTGCTTGGAGCTTTTACTAATATAGCAAATGATCCTCGGCGGGCAGCAAGGCTAGCATTTTCTACTCGTGACAAATTCGTAAATTATTTTAATTCTGATATGCCTATGCCCAATATATAGAATGTTCGTTTTCACATTTGTGTAGACTGTAAATTATTTAACAAGTTAATAAAAAATATTAGGTACATACCATTCTTTTCCTATTTCCATCCAAATCTTGTCTTTCTTTCTCGCATTCCTGTATTCATCGTTCGACAAATCATACAAACAAGGATACTTTTTCTCTATTTCTATCAATAATTCCGTTTTTGCCATTGCGAATTTTTGAAGAACGGCGTCAAAAACGCGGTCAAAGGCGAACTGAAATACGCCGCGATAAAAACACTGGAACAATCGCATTCGCTTCGCACAAGTCTGAGCCTGTCCGTAAACCGCCGCGTTTTAATCTGATCGTGAATTCATCGCCGCGAAATTTTCGCAGCCAAAGCGAATATTTCGCGCCGGTTTGTGGGATGCTTTAAACTTCATGAATAATTTTAAGTTGACAATAGGTTGTTAAACATCATGGAGTACACGTTTGATTGATATTCGGATGTGCATTTAATGTACGAATTGGCAAGATGTAATGCTTTAAAAGCACGAACATTGTGCGCTGAAAGATTCCTTAATAAACACCTGCCTAATTCAAAGACTTTCCAGCGAATCGATCAGCGGCTACGAGAAACTGGTAAGAAATGATTATAGTCTTATTTTGAGTAGTAGAAACCATTTGGATATAGTTTGTTCAAAATATAGGCCGACATAGTGGAGCTCCCAGAACTGTACGTACAGCTGAAGTTGGAGAAAATGTTTTCGATGCTGTCTTTGAAAATCCCACAGTTAGGGTTAGGAATGTAGGAGGTTTTACTTCGTTGATATTATTTTCGGACGAAGCAGGATTTGGAAGGGATGGGCCCATTAACTCGCATAATTTTCACATTTAAGCAGACGAAAATCCTCATGCAATGATACAAACCCGCCACCAAGTACAATTTCAAATTAGTTTATGGGCAGCATTAATTGGACAATATTTAATAGGACCCGTTGAGTTACCACCTAGACTAAGGCCCGTATCGTCAGTCGTCCCTACATTGTAGGGCGCGTTTATGGCCTCCTAGATTGTCATACTCTTTTCTCTCCTTCAAAAATTTCTAGATTACACTCGTCCCGTGTCAGCGTCAGCGCTCTCCTATTGTGAAGATATGTTTTCTTTTTAAATTGTAGGAAATTTCAGGCTGATAAAAAATTGATATAACTCAAAAGCAAGCACAATTTGATGCAAATAGATGTTTGTGACATAACCTCGAAATAGAGCGTTGACACGGAGAAATATAAAACTATGACAATCAAGAAGGCCATAAACGCGCCCTACAATTGTAGGGACGACTGACGTTCCGTCCCTAAATGGCCAAAGGTATTTACAATTTCTTGAAGAACAATTACCCACTCTGCTGGAAGATCTTCCATTACAAACTCGCATGAATATGTGGTTTATGCACGATGGTGGTCAACCTCGTTTTAGTATATTAGTTAGATAGCATCTAAATAGAGTTTATCCAGACCAGTGGATAGGCCGATCAAGACCTGTATCGTGGCCGGCTAGATATCCAGATTTAAATCCTATGGATTTCTTCTTCTGGGGCGACTTAAAACGACGTGTTTACAATAGGCCAGTGGAAACTATAGATCTATAGATGATCTTCGACAAAGAATTTTCCACCATAGCCAGGAAATGAAAAATAACATCAAAATGCTTTGGAGAGTGTAGCAAGGATTGATTCGTCAAGCTCGAGAGTGTGTTAGGCTCATTTTGAACAATTTTTGTAGTTCCTCATTTGTTATTGTTAAAAACTATAGCAACGCTATTCAGATATTATCCAAAGCAACTTGATTATTATGCTATAAAAATGTTTTATCATCATGGTGCAAATAATGCATTGGAACCTTTAAAAAGAAATATCTCGAAAACTATTAGCTTTAGACACTTATAACAAGTAAACCTTTTTTGCTGTGTAAATACAGGAAAATGATATGTTTCAGTCAGTTGTTATAAACAGGGTAGCACAAAAAAGTTATGATAAGTTATTTACCGAAATAGTGCTGTAAGTGGCGCCCTCTAGAAGTTTGGCGATAAAAAAAACGGATTCTTGTTTCTCATTCTATAAAACCTCCCCATACCGAGTCATATGCCAAAATCTGAAATGCCCTTCAAGCAATAAGGAAAAAAAGAAAATAAAATTGTAACTTTGACACCTTGTATCTCGTAAACTATCAACTTTTGTACTAAGGTATGTTTAAGTCAATTCACATATTTTGGTCTGTAGTTTCGAGATTTCCAAACCTTTCGCAGACATCCTGTATATCAAGTCAACCTGTAGTGTCAACTTTCATCCAGATTACAGACTGAATTTTGAAGACAAACAACTTATTCCACCCAGTCTGAACTTATTAGTGCCAAGTATACTTATATTTTTGTTCTACTTTTCACTATATGCGACATAACGTATCCTTCAAACTGTTGTCAAAAAATGGTAATTCATTTTGTTTGTACTCACTTCCAGGCTCATTACTGATCTTCATCTTGTCCAAACTGGCCGAATCCCTGTCGTTGTACACGATGACCGCCGCGGCCCTTGCCCTGAAGGCGTTCTCGACCTTGACCTCAAAGTTGCACCGACCTCGCCGCACCAGAGCTATCCAAGGCCGGCCCGGAGCCGGAAGCTTCCGGTCTGACCTGGAACTCTCCAGCGGTGGCCGGCAACCAGAGTGGTCTGCCGGGTCTGACGGCGAAGACACGTGGACTAGCTCGCCGAAAGCCGGACCTGGAAACCGAACGTGCACACTGAGAAAATTGAACGGTTGTTCTGGAAAATTTTCATTACGCGTAATACATTTCTTAATTACTCTAAGTAACTAAATTATTCGGTTTAATTAAACCAGTTTAATTGAAACTAATAGAGTACTTACTAAAATAATTTACTTGGAATTAGAAAAACCAAGTAAAGGTTATGTTGAAAACTTTTTTGTAGTTTTGTACGAAATAAAGTTCGTTTATTATTATTACTATCATTAATAGTGAATAAATTGGTGTAATAGATCTAAGTAAACGGTTTAATGAATTTAACTAAACGACTGCTTTTCAGTTTAATTAAACTAGTATCATAGATTCAAGTAAACTGTTCTAAAAATCGGAGTTTAAACTTATTAAACTGGTTAGTTATCACGTGCACATTAAATTGTCTTATTGGCCTAATTAAAATTTCAAATGGTTTAGTTATTTTTTTCTCAATGCAGTATTCTATCTTTGCTATTGACCTACTATTTTGCATATATCCACTCCAGAATTTCATACGGTATCATAGCCTGGGGTGGTTCCAAGGAAGCAATTCGAGTATTCACTATGCAAAAAGAGTCGTGCGTTCAGTGTTAGGTCCGAGTAGAAGGACCAGCTGCATAGATTCTTTCAAGCGGCTGATAATATTAACTTTGCCATCAATATACAGGGTGTTTCAGTTTATTGTTGCATAACTTTAAGATTCGATAGAACTTTTAAAATTAATGCATAAAGTCTATATAAACATGGGTCGAAAAATGCGTGGCTTCCGAAATACAGGGTGTTTAAATTTACTTTCTAAAATAGCTTTTTTTTAAATATTTTGAACAATATTCGATGTGTAACAGTGAAAATTGGTATACAAGGGTTGTTTGGTACGACAAAACGGACCATGGGTATAGTTTTACTGTAGCCGCTAGAGGGCGCTCTCTACTGTACCTGTAGTGTATTAAATTGACCGAAATTTTTTTCTTAGTGCAATTTTTTGCTTTTTGAATAAAAAAACTGATTCTTCGCACTTTTCAACATAAAAAAGCTCTCTTGTGAATTTTCGTTATAGTTAGCCGTTTTTGACATATTTCGATTTTCAAGGTTCGATGCATTTTTAATTATTTATGATAAAATAACGTTGAAAAGTCAGTATCTCGATAATTTTTAGAAGTAGGCTGTGCCTGCAAATATTTTTGAAATTGAAGGCAGAATAAGGTTAAACGTCAATTAGTTGACAGTTAGTTTTGTTGTCTGTTGAAACCTGAAACGTTTTTTTGCAATTGTGAATACGCACGAAGATTTCCAAACAGACGACATCCAACTCGCTCAGTATTTGCAAGAGTGCATCTCCATATAATTAAAAATGGTTTTTGGAAATCTCCAAAGGGATCAAAACATAAATGTTCGTCAGCGCAGATTTGCCCGTATGATTCTGCGTGAGTTTGATAGAGATCCGACCACAAGTGTTAGGAGAGTTTCTGGTGCCTTGGGAATTTCAGCAAGCCATGTTCACCGTGTTCTTAGAAATGACCATAGACGTCCTTACCATTTGCAACCTGTGCAAGGACTTTAGCCAGGGGACGGAGAACGAAGTATCACATTTTGTCAGTGGATTCTTGATAGACCTGATAATAATAGGAAGTTTTTAAGTAACGTTTTATGGACCGATGAGTCATGCTTCTCTAGACGTGGAGTGGTAAATTTTCATAATCAACATATTTGGTCGCATGAAAATCCGCATGCAGTTCGGGAGAGAAATTTTCAGCATGAATTTAGTGTGAACGTGTGGATTGGTATCTACCGTAATCGACTATTTGGACTCTACCTTTTGCCTGCAAGGTTAAATGCTGCGACCTTCTTGGAATCTTTAAAGGCTGAACATGCAAATATGTGGGATGATGTTATGTTAGATTTAAGAAGATTGGCCTGGTTCCAGCTTGATGGTTGTCCAGCTCATTATTCGAGAATAGTTAGAAACTGGCTGGACGAAAACTATCCAGAAAGATGGATCGGCCGTGGAGGACCAGTCGCCTGGCCTCCACGATCCCCTGACCTGAATCCATTAGATTTCTTTGCGTGGGGATTTCTAAAAGAAAAAGTGTACCAGACTCCCGTAACCACAAGAGATATGCTAATAGACAGAATCAGGAATGCATGTGATGAAATAAGGCCTTATTTGAATAGTGCTATGCCACGTTCGAACATTCGTAGATGTGAATTGTGTATTGAACAATTGGGTTTACATTTCGAGCAACTACTTTAGCTTTTGTATGTTTGTCCTAAGTATCCAATAGCATTTTAGCTGTAAATAATTAATTTAATTTGTTAAAAATAATATTGGAAAATTAAAGAAATTAATATTCTGTTTTTTGTGTTTATTTGGAGTTAGGAATTATTGCTGTTTAAAAACACAATCTAAACGATCATCTTAATTGCTTGTAATGCCCAAATCGAAAATGTAAAAAAAATATTATTTTCCCATAAGTAATTAAAAATGCATCGAACCTTAAAACTCCAAATATCTCAAAAACGGCTAACTATAACGAAAACTCACAGGAGAGCTTTTTTATGTTGAAAAGTGCGAAAAATCAGTTTTTTTATTCAAAAAGCAAAAAATTGCGCTAAGAAAAAACTATGCCCATGGTTCGTTTTGTCGTACTAAAAAATCCTTGTATACCAATTTTCACTGTTGTTCGAAATATTTAAAAAAAACTATTTTAGAAAGTAAATTTAAACACCCTGTATTTCGGAAGCCACGCATTTTTCGACCCATGTTTATATAGACTTTATGCATTAATTTTAAAAGTTCTATCGAATCTTAAAGTTATGCAACAATAAACTGAAACACCCTGTATATCTTTGAGCTGTTGACAAATGTGAAATCTAACCTAGCTGAGTTTCCAAAATTGAATGATCATAATCACTACTCGACTAGGAATTCGCTTGTCCTGCAGATTCCTGCTTATAGGCTGTCAAGAACAGAAGCCAGCCCAACTCAAATGGGAATTAGGCTGTTCAATAAATTGCCAAATACCTTTAAAACTTTGCCGATGCCATTATTCGGACATAAGTTCAAAGCTCTATTAAGACCCAGATCGTACTATTCTTTGGACGAATATTTCTTAGATATCCAGCTAGATCAAGATGCCTAACTATATCAAATGTGAGCTCTGTATTTTATATTTATATTTTATTTATATATTTTAACTTGGCCGATTTATTTTAATGTTGTAATGCACTTGTTGTATTTTTGTTCATTGTTCTTGTGACTGTCATATATTTCATATGTGTATTGTTTTTGTTTTTATTTATCTATTTTTGTAATGCTTGTCTTAGTTTCAAGATAGAGTACCTTGACGTGTTCTATGCCATGACAAATGATCTACAAAACAAATAAAGATTATTATTACTAAAAGCTGCAAACTCGGTATTTCTAAGCATGTAAGAGCAGAGGGGATCAAAGAATAGAGTATTATTGTGCGTCCGTTGGAATATCTTGCAGTAGACTATGAAACAACGACATGCATTACTACTACTAAACAAGACAGTGTAAAACTAGCCCAGTACCACTGTGACCCCTAAGGCTGACGATTCTGGCGGTATAGTAGATGTGATCAACTCGCCACTGGACAAACTAAACATGCTACTTTGGTCTGTCGAGCATTTTGAGTTAGATCTGGATAACTTTGGTGGCGATTGTCACATGAACTTGAGCCAATAACCTTGATTCTAAATCTTGGTTTGTTTACTTACCAACATATCCTCCTCCGTACCTCCCTACTTCCGTTTTGTCCGACTTCCACCCCCGATCAGTCCACACTGTGACGTTCAGGTACGCTGACGTAAACGTGTCAGCATCTGCGTCAGCAAAGTGACTGAACGGGGATCCTGACACCCAGTCTTCGGGGTTGGCAGACGCGGCTGCCATCAGTCTGAATGGAATGAAAGCCAGCAATTGGACACTCAGAAGGTAGTCTACAGCCGGAAGCATCTTCTATTCTATCTGCAACAAACGAAAAAACGGCGTCAAGTAGGTTGACTCTGTACTGTCTACGCTTTCGTCGGAAGTTTTGGAGGAAAACGATGAGTCAAATTGTTTCAAAAGGCGAAGTCGAATCGTGACGATTTTCCGATCTCTGCATATCAAACTAGGCGAGGATCTCTATTTATATTTTAAGCCTGATAATGGAAAAAAGCTACTCTGTCATTGAAAATCACTTTACTGTTTTTGAAAATATTCTCCCCAGGAGAGAAAAGGCTATGAAAATGAAGGCCATAAAGGTGTCCTACAATTGTAGGTACGACGATACAGCCCTCAGTTTCCTCGGGAGTTGCTGGCCCTTATGATCTAATAACCGAACAAATTAGAAGCAGTAGCCAAACAGAATACATTTTAGGTGATAGACTATACAGGGTGGCCCATTAATGTGTGGACGGAATATTACTCATATACTCATAAAATCTATTTACGGCATGTTACACATAACATTTGAGGGCACATTTCTAAAATATCGGTCATTATACAGGGTGTCCCAATTTCGACCTACATATCAAAGTTGTGATTTTTTAAATGGAATGCCTCAAATTTTATTACAGATTTGGATAAACCAATTCAAAAGAAGAAAATTGATATAACATACTATGGGGTTTTGGTAATTAGCTACTGAGATGTCCAGAAAAACCGTCCATTGCGGCAACCCCTCAATCCGCCATTTTGAAATTTGCAGTGCTGAATTTTGTATAAGAAAAAAACTTACATACCTCAGGTTTTACCTTATTTGTTACTTTTTCGAATTTTTATTTTTGCTCATACACTGTGGTCAAAAACGAGAATTGTACTTTTTCTCAAAAATTTCAAATGCATCACCCTGTATACATTTGCAAGTTTGGATTCAATTTTTTATAAGCTTTTTTTGGTATAAGGTTTGATTCAGTCACTAGATTTTGAGTTATTAAGCTTTTAATGGAACAACACACCAAAATCAAGGAAAAAAATGACATCATCCATGGAAACAAAAGACAAACAGTGGGCTAGTTCCATATCGCCACTAAGAGTACAGATTTGACATAAAAACTAATAACAATCAGAACAATATAAATCCGCTTTAAGCGTAATAGAGAAAAACAAGTATAACAACAACATCTACAAAAACTGCTCGAAAGTATCTCCACCATGTTGAATTTTTGAGAAAAACTGCAATGTGCGTTTTTGACCACCCTGTATGAGCAAAAATTAAAATTCGAAAAAGTAACAAATAATATATATATAACTTGAGACATGGAAATTCTTTTGTAAGGCTTAACATCTGTCTTCTTATTGATACAGTTGTCATTCATGAAAATGTGGGACATTTCCAGGAATAAAATCTCATAATAATATAGTTAGTTCAACTGCCTCTGGTCGGTTTGACAAGTTCTTACCCAACATATCTTGAAAATCACACCATCTGAAGTGATTTGGCAACATAGCACACGCCTTACAAAAGAATATTCGTTCCATCCATCTACACGGACACTGCTAACCTTCGGCCATCTGTCAAAAGGTTCATCTTACTCATGATTCTATGCCCACCATTTTGTGCAATCATCAAGTGGCTTCACGATGTAATGCTTAACTTTCGTTTTAAATATTTTTAATCTGTTTTTAATTTATTCTTGTCATACAGCTGTGCGTAGTTTGTATAATTTTGACTATCGTACCATGTATCCAGCTTTCACCATGTTACTGGGTGTTTCCCTCATCCTTAACGTAAATAACATTTAGCAACATCCTCACATACTACTGTAAGTTAATTTAAATTCATTTTACACAATTGTTGCTACTTTTATAATTATTAATTAATTAATTTAATTATTAATGTAATTACAGCTCCTGATGATGATGGCAACGACCATTGAAAGCTAGAGAGATTAAAAAAGTATAAAGAGTCCTCCTTGCCTAAATTTTGTCGAAGTACCTAACAAAAGGCGGAAGCTTTAATATATATATGCGTGAGCAGTAGTCGTTGCCAAAGCCAACGACCAGTTGGGCACGAAATACAATTAATTGTTAATTGGGAAATTGGCAAATCTTTTAGGCTAAAGTTGACTCGTCTCTCTCTATATACAGGGTGACTTCGAAGTTGAGTCATTTATTTTAACAGTGAGTAGATCTGATCAAAAGAAATGTTTTTTTCCTTTACCATTTTTCTGGTAAAATTAAAGTAACAAAGTTATAGCCCTTTGGAAGTTTGAGTACCGCCCTGTCTCAATAATAATATTATGTGCTCGTGTTTGGCAACAACGGATATAATCCGCCTTATCGGTTCATCGCATCGGAAACACAAAAGCGAAAGAATTTGGAACGATGTTTTTACAATTATTTTATTCAGTTGTATTCCGTCAGTGTCAGTCGGTAACGCGTGAGTGAATAGTGGTGTCTGTTGCGTGGCTCAAACGAAATCAAAAATGGCACATGTTTACGAAAATGCTGAACTTGTGGACATGATTCTTATTTACGCGGCATCACGGATTTATGCGGATCGGTTTCCCAATCGAGTGCAACCAACCCCTCGTGCCTTTGTTAATGTAGTACAACGGGCTCGTGAATCAGGTGACTTAAGACCTCACAGGGGAGGGCATGCCGGTGCTCCAAGACCTCACGATCAAGTACAGGTCCGCACTGAAATATTTGTCGGGAGGATACTTTATAAAACATGGTAAAAAAAAAAATTATTTTTTTTTTGTTTTTACACATATATTTTGGTTTATCTTCCTTCTACAATCATTATCTGAAAATTATTGACTCAACTTCAAAGTATATAGATTATTATAATATTCTTAAAAATAAATACCATCAGTATATGCATACGAAACTATGTAATCAGTGCGTGTTACCAGTTCCTACATATGGCTCTCAAACTGTAATCAGTGCATGTTACCAGTTCCTACATATGGCTCTCAAACGTGGGTATTCAGAATGGAGTATATTGACATGATATCTAAAAGACAAAGAGCAATGGAAAAGCAGATGCTGGGTGTCGAACCTAAAGAAAAATAAACTTCTGGACCAGAGGAAAACAAAAGAGAACGATGTAGCAAAGCAGGTAGCAGACCACCTTAAGAGAATATCAGGGGGATGGTGGTTACGAATTGTCCAGCATAAAGACCAATGGAAAGCAGTATTCTATATCCAAGAGCCATTGATAGATAGTGTTTTTAGGACAAGGTGTCCCGTGGCTATCCTGCTCATTGAGAACAGTTCTGCAGCCATTTTTGGGCTTCGTTTGATGACGCTGATACCCATCGAGGAATTGTTAATTATGCAGAGCTATCTGGAATTGCACATGTTTTGTAGCCGAGATTGAAATATTCTACTGCAGCACCTTATAGTTGTTAAATTGTTTCTCACACTTTTCATATTTTCTTTTTCCAGTTGGAAAAGGGCAGTCATGGCAACTAAAACATCAGTAACGCGTCTTGCTAATCAAATGTGGTTATAAAGATTGCACGTAAGGACGCGATACACCGAGGTCATAGGTGTTACCTCATTTTTTATCAACATTTTCTGGTGCGCTGTTAAAGTATATGTACATTTCCACATACAATTCCGTTTTTTTATGGGATAATCATTGCATATGTGTACCGCGTAAATGGTTTTACAATTATCACTGTCATTTAGCAATTATGGGACAAAGGTAAGCTTGATTTGAAGGTTTGTTGCTCGAATAAAGTATTGTCCGTGAAATTTTACCGGATTATGTGTAAACGTAATTACGAAATAATCCGGTTATAATAAGGAATTTATTGGAGATGAACTACATCCGCGTTAATAAGTTTTACTTACTGATATAATAGCTAGGTTGCCTCCCACACCTAAACAGATTTTTAACAAAAGCCAAAATAGTTTGTCACCAAGGAAATTGTAGCTAAAACCACTTAGTACCTTATTTACTTACTTTTAGATCGATAGGTTGGCGTGCTATCAAAGTTGTACTTTGAATCATCAAACCGCTATAAGCCCTGTCAATGATCGTTTCCAAGATCTCGCCACATAAGTTCCGTTCATTCTGCTACGCTATATAGACGGAATTCACACGACCGGATCCCAGACACAGTCAACGATAAGTCACCGATTACGGTACGAACAAACCTATAGTAAGTTATATCAATCATCTGAATGTGCCATAAAATAAGGATAGCCAGTTTGGAAAACTTCTTCATACTCTTGTGTATACATATTTAGAGTTGAAATTTTAACATAAATACAGATGAACCTTGAAGTTTATAAAAAAAATCATACTGAAACTGTTAATAGAGCTAGCACGCAAAGTGAAGGCACAGTTATGTTTTAAACTGCCTTATCGTAGTTAGTATGTAGCATGTGCTACATTTTTCAAATAAGGAGGTCGCGTAATCTAGTTTCTTTTCGAAGAAATATAATTCCCTGGACCTTTTTTTCTAAGTTTTAACATTGTATACGTTTGTTTTAGAAATCTTGTAACATTAAAATGACTGCGAGCTCAAAGTGTTGGAAAACAAACTCGAAAAAGTGATAATACTGTAGACAAATATCAAACAACTGTAGTGAACTAACCGTTTGAAAAATTAGGCAAAATGTTCAGTATTACTCCGTAGTACATTATTTAAAGTATCAGCATTATATCCTGTATATATAGTTTTCGAGAGTATTCTAACTGTTTATAACAGATTTGATATGCCTCCAACGTTCGTTTGAGATTTGTCAGTTTCAAGTATAGCAGTATCGTAAACTAAGAGGCGTCGCAGTGTAATAAAATAAGGGGTAACGATCGCAGAACCACAGGAAAGGGGTTCCGATCCACAAAGTTCCTTCTTTTCTATAATTTTTTTTTTATTTGGAGAAATAAATGCTTTTTCACGTTATGTATGCGACATTTCCCTGAGTTTATCCGTTGTCGCACAAAGGCGTTTTTGATGACACAGAGAGACAACAGGAAACAGTGGTCATGAATATCCGTCAAGGAAATCCTAAATGTATCATGC